TCTAATAAAATAAAAAACCTTAAGACTTTGTTTGGGATCTCGATTTTGGCCCTTGGATTTGAAATCCAGGGGTTCCAAATCCGAATCTCATGATTGAGATGCAAATTTAGCTTGAATTTGAAATTATGTCATTTCAAATGGAAGGATTTTAGAGCACATAAATCAGGATTTCAAATCTTGACCCATCCCCTCTGATTTGTGAAATCAGCCTCCGCCAGATTGAGATCACTTCCCTGAAATAAAAGGAAAAGAAAAATCGTGATCGTGATCTTCTCTCTCCTCGAGTCATCTTAGCTTCGAATAGCAAAAAAATCCATCGGAACTTTTCTCTTCCCTAACCTATCTCCGCCTCGTCGCCGTCGGCGCATCGCCCTGACCTCTGCCCTCCTCGTCGCCAGCGTTTCTATTCGCCCTCATCATCGCCGGCAGTCGTTGTAGAGCTCGAAAAAGGCGGTCACAACGGCAACAAGAGGAAAAAAGGGAGTTTGAATATTCATTATCATTTTCTTTTCGTTTGAAATTCAATTCAATTTGAAGAACAATTTTGAAGCGAATGACTTGATGAAGGATTTAGCGTATCAAATGTTGGTTTTAATCAAACCAAATGATAAATACATGGGTTTTCTTTTTTTAGGGTTTGATAACAAAAACACATGAACATCAAAAAGAAAGAATATTAAAAAAAGGTGTTTTTAGTTATTGGTGCCTTGAACTTTCATAATTGATAATTAGTCCCTCAGATCATTATAATTGCTGATAGGTACCCCAAATCATAAAAAATTATTACAAGATGGTCTCTCTATTGATTTTCAGTTAAATTCGTAAACCATGGTTGAGTCAAATTTTAATCAAACAAGATCAACTACTAAAACACACGATTGATTTCAAGGAAGTAAGCTTATTTAGGAAGATGAGATGTGATACCTTAGCTCCAATATACACATAATGTACTATGTAAAATGCTAGATAAGCATCTTTTCATTTTCGTTTCTCTATTTTAAGAAAATTTACATTGATCAGTGTGCTCATTTAAATAATTATTTTATTTATTTAACTGTTATTCACATGAATATCCCCAAAGTATACTTATTTTTAACTTTGGTACCCCGAAAGTTTTATCTTGCCTCAAAAATACCTTCAAGCTCAATAAAATTTAACTTTGATGCCCAAACATAAATTTTTTTAAATTTGGGGTATCAAAGCAAATTCTTCTTGAAGTTTGAGGTATCAAAGCAAAAATTTATTGAACTTTGGCGTACTTTTTGGGTAATTTTTTTAATCGTCAATGTTACTAATGAGGTAAAGTTTGAATTTTTTTTTTGGCAAGAAAATACTTTGGGGGTATCAAAGTCAATTCTTGTTAAATTTTAGGGTATTAATGTTATAATTTCTTAAACTATAGGGTATTTTTTTGGAAAAAAAGATAACTTTGATTTGTCAACATTAAAAATGAGGTAAATTTTGGGGTGTTTTTTGAGCAAGGAAATACATTGAGGTGTCAAAGTTAAAATTAGAGCAGATTTTGGGCATTAGGTTATAATCTCTAAAACAAGTAGCTTTTATTAGAAAAGAGTTATCTAAAAACTGGAGAAAGAAAATCCCTAACATTGTATGTAAAGAGATTATGAAATAATGTATAACAAGTGTATACAGTTTTGAAGTCCTTTCATCTAACAAAATTATCCAAACAAGAGATTTATAAAATTTATGGATTTCAAATCCTAAATTTCAAATTCATTGATTCTAAATCTAGGCCTCAAATTCAAATCATATTTCCCAAACGCAGCCTAAAAGAATTGCATCAGCATATATCCACTACAAAGCTTACAAAGATTTCATCTATAAGTAATGCGAAAATGTAGGCATTGGTAGATTGACATTGAAGTGAGGATAAGCATGTGTCCACCCTGAGATCCTCAAAACTCCCAAAGACTCCTCAAGAGGTGATAAATTTGTTTCGAAGAAGAGTAACGTTCCCTGCCTATTGTAAAATGCAACCTCCATTCTTGTTTCCAAGAACTAATGAGGTCTATTATACATGTGTAACATAGAAATCTTGCTGATGCCACAAGGCCCACAACCTTCGGAAAACTTCTAGCACCAAATTTTAACCAATTTAAAGTAATATCCAACTTAAACAAGTTTAACAAAACCATTACTTCCTCTGTGCAATGGTTGGTAGCAGACTAGCAAAATTAGTTTTTTTCTTGATAAAATTAATGCTTACGACACATGAAATTTCAATATGAATTGATGTTTTCATTATGAAGAAACTGCTTTGTACTGAAAACATCTAACATAATTTTAATTTTGCAGCTTAGAAAGGAGTATAATTATGGAATCTTCATCGCTTACAGATGCAAAGAGCTTATCGTCTTTACTCCTCTTTGAAGGGTAATATCATAGGTCCTGTCACAGAGGTCTTGTAGAAACAGTTCCAAGGCTTTAGCTGCAAAGTGACACAACAAAGAGATGAATCTTAATATTAATATCAGTAATTATTCTTAAACTGTATCATGCATATGCAATTGAGGTGCAAAGGGTCAAAAACCAGAGATGGCCCAAAAGAGAAACATACAGTGACACTGATATAAGTGAAAAACTAGTCAGATTGCAAATCACATTATAGAATCTTTTTTCATAGGAAATTTATTCAAAGGGTGGCAGGTGGCTCCTTAGACACATGCACATCATAAATTGTGTAACTAATAAGAAAAGATCAATGAAACCACAGTTAGTACTATCAGCATTGTGAATCAACACCATAATTAAAAATTCAGAAAGAATTGACTATATAACTTTTTCTTTTTTTTTTTTTGGTGAGAAACTGTGAGGCCTAAAGCCCATAGGGCTTCAATTAAAAGACAATAAAGAAACATGATACAGCCTAGAAAGATGCATACATATGACGGCACACATATTGTTTGCTCTCTCGAGAAAAAGCAAAAATAAAACAAAAGTAAAAATAAAATACATATAAACCCCTTGTCGTCCAAGGCCAACCCCACGTCGTCTCCAACAAACCATGGCCCGAATCCAACAAGTCCCTTGCCGGGTCAGACCAAACCCTCATCAGCTCCGGTAAGTCCCGTGTCATCCCAGACCAACCCCTTGTTAGTTCCAATGAAGAAGTTCAGCGAAGAATCTTTACAAAAGTTAATTGATCACACAAAAGTTTGGAACATCTCTACAAAATTACCCTAGATTAAAAAAGAGCGTAGATAACAGGGGAAGAGGATGTCTTTGCTGTAGTTAATCAAGCCTGCCAAAATAAAAAAACTACCCATCCTAGTCTCAAATCTTAGAGCAAATCATATTTAACTTATAGAACCTCTTTCTTATAGAAAAGTTATGTAGAGGCTCCTTAAAACACATGCACAACATAAATGCGTAACAAATAAGGACAAAAAAAAAACATTGCAGCTAGTAAGCATAGTGAATCAATGCAATTGTATAACAAGTTCAATGATGAATCTTTAAACACATTCATTCCAAACCAAATAATGGAATATCTCAAGCCTGAAACAGAATACCGCGGTAGAACTAAATACATGAAATTATCACTTTTTAGAAACCGAAACCAATGCAAACATCTTCCAGTACAAGCAAGTTTGCAGCAAAATGTCTAGGAAAGCATCAAACATAAACATTAATTCAGAAATAAGGACAGTATTTAGGTTAGTTAAACAGGATTTATCATTCGAATGACTGTAAAAGTGATATGAAAGACTTACAAACTAATACAGGTACTGCTAATGCTATCTTGCCCACATCTTCATCCGCTTGCATTATCTTTTTGATTCGAGACTGCCAAAAAGTATAACATATCAGATAATGTCTTAATACGAAAAAATAATCATAAAAAGGCTTACAATAACACCAAACCAAATTGACTATCATGATCTTCTTCGATAACAAACACTCCACACTTTATATCAAGTTACTTGTATCATCATTCTCTTTAACTTTCATAAAAGGAACTTGTACAAGAAGTTAAGGAATTAATTCTTCTCCTGAAGCTTTGAGCATAAGGTAGTCGATACAAGCTAATCAAACTAGCCTAAATACATTTTATATGCATTTGTTCTAACTTTTAGCTTTGTCTTTATACACTCCCATCCCCTTTATTCTCCAAAATAAAATTGAATTACAAAGAAATATCCTCAAAAAATAATCATAATCAAATTGCAAAAAATATCAAAAGCTCCAAACAAATTCACGGTCAGATGCTCCGCTAAACCCCCCAGTCCTAAATGCTCAAAACTTAAGTTATTTACAAATTTTGCCTCCTTAGAACCTCACTAGACCGACTAGACGGGCTTTCTTCCTCGTTATTTAAAGATTCAGATCGTTGAGCTCTCTTCCTCGCTGTTGAGGACTTGTGCACCTTTAAATAGCCCAACAGTTTCTTCAATGCTGCCAAACTCTCATAGATTTCTCATGTAGGCTACTGAAATCATGTTGTTAACAGATTCACAGTTGTTGAGCCAAATTGTTTTTTTCTTTCCTTTTTCCTTTTTTTCTAAAAAATTGGAGTTTGCGTGAGAAGACTGAACTCTAGTTGAACCACATTGTTTCATGCTTTTTATTAGGAAAAAGTACTTTCCCCACCCCTAAGAATTCTCATTTATATGTTGCGCTCCTAGTTGACTAGTCAAGTGTGGAAAATCTCCTACACTTTTAAATCTATTTGATCTCACCTCATGTCTTATTAGTACTACCTATTTCTAATTTTCTTTATTCTAGTAATATTTTATCTCACTTTATTTGAGTTACAAAAAGATAATGTTGATGTACACCTACGACAACACCAGCCTCTCCCTCTT